CTTCGTCCTGAGGATGAAGTTGGGCCTGTCCCTCTACAGCAGGAGTGTTCAAACAACAATTAAACAAATCGTATGGGAACGATTTTTCTTATATGTTTGATCATTTTGGGATATTGTTTGACTATCTCTTATTTTCCGTCCAATATCCGCCAGTAGGGGGACATGCCCGACCTAACCTTAGCACCGCAGCGCGCTGGTCCTGGCATCTCGGGTGTTTCGCGGTACCGCGCCTAGAGAACAAGGCCCGACATTCTCAAGGCAGGCTTGGGACGAATATGAATCGCTCCAGAGCGCTCTGGACCGCTCTCAGAGCGTTCTGGAGCGCTCTGGATCGATCGCGGCGCCCGGCACACCACCTGGACTTCCCAGCTGTCAGAGGTTCGGGCAACCTTCACTTCGGCAGACGCAGTCACACAGCCCTGCAGAAGGCCGGGGGCGGCCAAGAGGGGGGTGACGACTAGGGAGGGGTGGATATCATGGCGTGGGCCAGGATGTTTCCCCAGATTTCACGGCGCCTCCTTTTGTTTCAGTACGTGCCTGCCCCCCTCCTCGGGCCGCGCACAAGCCGCCAGCCATGATTTGCAGCATGGCGTGGGCCAGGATGTTTCCCCAGATTTCACGGCGCCTCCTTTTGTTTCAGTACGTGCCTGCCCCCCTCCTCGGGCCGCGCACAAGCCGCCAGCCATGATTTGCAGCCCCCCCTCTTGTGAGGCGATCGCAAACATGGATTAAGGGGGCGTGGATTAGCGACGGGTCCCGTTTCCGTGGGAAACCGCGGATTTCCGCCTCCATGGATTTGACGACCGCGCGCCAAATCCATGCATCGCTAGTCCATGGTTGCGCGCCCCCGACCCCGGGGGGGGGGGATCCAGAGCGCGGGCCACTCGAGGGGGGAGCCCAAGGTGGACGCGGCCTCTTGGGCACGATGTCTCGGCCCTGCCCCTGGATTCCTCTTGTATGGGGTTCGCCCCTGGAGGCTCCACATCCGATGGGCACGCGATCAACTATCATGACGGATGAGGAGGAGGAGGCGAGGCGGAGGAGGAGGAGGAGGAGGAGGAGGAGGAGGAGGAGGAGGAGGAGGAGGAGGAGGAGGAGGAGGAGGAGGAGGAGGAGGAGGAGGAGGGGAGGAGGAGGAGGAGGAGGAGGAGGAGGAGGAGGAGGAGGAGGAAGGAGGAGAGGAGGAGGTTGGAGGGGAGGAGGAGGAGGACGGGAGGAGAGGAGGAGGGAGGAGGAGGAGTAGGAGGGAGGAGGAGGAAGATGAGGAGGAGGAGGAGGAGGAGGAGGATGAGGAGGAGGACGCCCCCCTCTTGGCCGCTCCCGAAGAGGGCAGAGGCAGTGCGCCGCCGTCGCTGGCCCTTTTGCCTGGCCCAGCGCAGGCCGGCCGGCGCAGCCACGGGGCTCCTGGGCGGCCGCGTGATGGATCTGAGGCTGCCGGAAGGGTTCGTTGGGCAAGGTTGGTTTCGCTGGACTCGAGGTTCTGCACGAACGAAATTCGGGCCGGACGAAAGGAAATCTGCTGCATGCATGCAGCTGGTTTCGGCCCGACCGAGGGTCCCATTCCTCGATACATGGGCGCCTCCCGGCGCCGGGAGGCGCCGGGAAAGTCAGCTACGTGAGCTGATTCTCAACCCCCCCCTTTGCTATCCCCCCCCTTTCGCCCGACCCGAGAAATAGGCACGGAAAGAATGGGTAGAATGCTCAACAGAAGTTCCTGTTCATTTTGGGAACAGGACTCGCTGTCCGCGCCGCCGCGGTCTGTGTCCATTTGAGACAGAAGGCCGCCTGCCCAACAGCGGCCGCTGTTGGTTTGGGACAACATTTGTTGTTGGGCATTGTACCTATTTTTCCGTACCAGTTTCGGGCGTCCAAATCCTAGGCGGCCGTGTGATGGATCGGAGGCTGCCGGAAGGGTTCGTTGGGCAAGGTTGGTACCCATACCTCTACCCTTCGCCCGTGTTCCCCTTGAGGCCCTCGTCGCCACCGCTGCATTCGCCTCGGAATTCTGGTCAGAACGCACCCCGGGGAGAGGTCCGGGGAGTAGCAGTATCGGTACCGTTTGGCCCCCAGCGGCCGTGTGATGTCGGAGGCTGTCAGGAGGGTTCGTTGGACGATGTTGTTTTCGCTGGGCTCGAGGTCCCCCAGCCCGACCTTGGGCACTCCAGCACGACCTGAGGCGCCCCAGCAGCCTCAGGAGCGAACCAACATACAGACACAATTAATCGACGATTCCCAAGCAAATATCGGAACATATGGGGAGTGGGGGGGAAGACCAAAGCCCAGAAGATTTGGGCAGATATGGGGAATGCTGTTATTTGTGTGTGTATTTATTTGTGTGTCCCAGGGCCCCTTCACAGCCGTCGAGGTCGCCCTCCTTGAGCCAGACCCTCTCGCCGTCCTCGACGGTGGATCGGAAGGCTGTGTCATCTCGCTGCGTCGGCACAGCCCCACCCCACAAGGTGAAGAACACGTTCCTGGAATACGAGGCGCCTCCGCTGTCCAGGGCATGCTGACCGACCACCGAATTCGACCTCTCTCTCTCTCTCTCTCTGTTTGTTCTCTCTCTCTCTCTGTTTGTTCTCTCTCTCTCGCTTCGCTCTTTCGCTCTCTCTGGTCAGACTATACCGCCTCTCCCTGTCCAGGGTGAGGTGCCCGGAACGGCTGCTGTCTCTCTGCTCCGCCCCCCCTACGGCCCTCCCCGCTTCTCCGCCCTCCCTGCTCCGCCTGCCTGTCCTCCCTGCTGCTTGATCCTGGCCGCCGCTCTTCGGCAGCGAGAGCAGGACGTGCGCGCACACGAACCTTTTCGTTGGTCTCGAGAGCACGCACCGCGCGACCGTTCGTAATCGCGCGGCCCCGTCTCGCAGATCGAGGGGCCGCGTGCATGCACACAGCTGGGCGCGCACGCCCTTGCTGGGCGCCCCGACTCTGCACTCCTCGGGCCTCGGCCCCGACGGCCTTCTCCAGTCATGCCTGCGTGGCGGAGGCCGTCGTCCCGTCGGTCGGGGGAGGGGGACTGGGCGAGGGCGCCCTGGGCTGCACCCCGTCCAGTCGAAGCACCTCCTCGTGCCCTCCGGAGCGTCCGGGGAGCTCTGGGAGAGGTGGCGTCCGGGAGGGGGAGAAGCAGTGGCCGACAAGGACGCGCCGGCGCTGGAGGGCCGTCGGCGCGTCACTCCGTCGCTGTTGTCCGAGGGCCTGCTGTGTCATCAGCATTCGCGCAGAGTGCGATGGGTGCCCCACCACAGTTGTGGAAGTTGATCCATTGAGAGGAAGCGTGTTGCCAAATCATTTCCAGATGTCTAAAACATGTGTTAGACATGTTTTAAACATGTAAAACATATGTATGAATCATGATTAGAAAAGTGTCCGACAAAATTCAATGATAGGACTGTTAGAGTGTCCACTGTGATGGCATCCACAATACAACAACGGTTCATTGATGTTGTTCCTGCTCCCACGTATCCTGGCCGCTGGAGAGCCCTTCAATGTCCCAAGGCGGCTTTGGTGGCTTCGTACTGCAATGCCCTGTCACGGACACCGAGACGCCCTCGTTGCCTTCCCGAGGTGCTCCCTCGGCCAAGGGCATCGTGAGAGACCTTACATACGCAACAGTAATCGATGTGTCTGAATACAGAATTTTATCGTATTGGCCTGCTCGGTCGTCGCATCGCCCAGGACTGCCTGGGACGCACACACGAGATCGCCCCGACACGGCCCCGGACCGCCTCAGGAGCGCCTTCGATTTCTCGGTGGCCCCCCATGGGTCTTGGGTCCCGCTGGCCCTGGTCGTTGCTATTTCCTGGTGGCCACCCATGGTCCCCGGCCCAGTGCGGGTGAGGTGACGAGAGCGGGATCAGCGGAGGGAGTGCGAGACGTGGCGAGCGAGAATTGGGGCCAGATATCCCGATTTGCTGCACTCCGGCGTCGCCGATGCATCTCGCCGATGCCTCGGCGGCTCGGTGCGATCTCCTCCGACCCTGTCTGCTCTGGCCCCGCTCGGGCGGCTTCAGGGGAGGAACGGGGGGGAGGAGTGGCTGGGAGGAAAGGACTGGTGGGCCTGTTTTCCACCACCACCAACACCATAAGCTGGAGGGGGAGGGGGTCCTCTCCTCCTCCTCCTCCTCCTCCTCCTCCTCCTCCTCCTCTCCTCCCCTCCTCCTCCTCCTCCTCCTCTCTCCTCCTCCTCTCCTCCTCTCCCTCCTCCTCCTCCTCCTCCTCCTCCTCCTCCTCCTCCTCCTCCTCCTCCTCCACCTCCATCCCCCTTCCAACTTATGGTGGTGGTGGTGGTGGAAAACAGGCACCTCAAGGGCGTCGGGAGGGCCCTCTGCGCGGCGCGGCGAGACTGGGACCACGCCCAGCGTCGGGCTGAGAAATATCTGCTCCGCGGCCGGGCGGTTGGACGCGCCGGCCTCAGCGGCTCCAGGAGGAGGAGGAGGAGGAGGAGGAGGAGGAGGAGGAGGAGGAAGAAGAAGAAGAAGAAGGGGAGGGGGACCCCCTCCCCCTCCTACTTATGGTGGTGGTGGTGGTGGTGGAGGAGAAAACGCCCACCAGTCATGGCGGGGAGATCAGCAGGTCAGGCGCGGGAGGAAGGGAGTCTCAGGCGATCGCAAACGTGGGTCAAGAGGGCGTGAATTGGCGACGGGTCCCGTTTCCACGGGAAACCGCGGATTTCCGCCGCCGAGCGAGGCGGCGCCGGCCGCATTTCGGCATTTTGGGGAGGGCACCTCCCCCGCTCCACGGATTTGGCGACCGCGCGCCAAATCCATGGCTCGCTAATCCATGCTTGCGCGGTCTTGAGGGTGGAGGGAAGGGGTGGAGATGGGGGATGGGGACGGGGGGAGGAGCGAGCAGCGAGTGGCAGCCGGTCCGCCCGACTTCCGCCAGCGGTCCTGGTACAAGCCCCATGGGGCTCAGAGCAAAAACCTGGCGACTCCGAACACGCGCGCTTCGAGGGACACGGTGACGCCACTGGGCCCGACGGAATTCAAACCTGAACGATCGGGGCCGCGATCGATCCAAGGTCGAACGATCGACGTTATGTCAAAAACCTTTGCGCGCGCCGGCGCCGCGCGAACCTACCGTAGCTGCGCTTTGTGTCGCCCGACCCGTGACGGCTGAGGCCCTGGGGGAGGCGCGAGGCGTCCACGACGAGGCCAGCAGCCCGCCAGGGAAATTGAAAAGGAGGGGCTTGCCGGACAGCCAGGTGCTCAATCACCCTCTGCTGTTTCCCCAGAGTTAGAACCGAAGCACGTTGGTTGTGATGACTGCGTACTCCCGCCACCCTCGGGCAGCGCCTGTGGCTCAGTATCGTTGGACCGATCCCTATCCCCTTCCCCATCCACACCTCGAGCCCCACCGTCTCACCACCTCAGTTCTTGGCATCGCTTCGACGTGTGCATTTTTTCTCGGCGAGAAACCACGAGGACCATCCTGGACCAGCGAGGAAAAAAAAACACGCACGAAACCGACAAATGCACGGGAAATGGACGTCCGAGCGACGGCAAGAGTTTGGCATATGCCCCTCGAAACCCGAAGAGAGCAGTCTGTATCCCCATCAGGGGGGTAAATCTGCCATTGGGGCCCAGCCCACGCTGCTGGGGATGGGGTTCGGTTAAATGATGCTCAGTTGCGCTTGCCGCAGAAATCCTCGAGGACCTTCGAGAGTTTCTGTACAGGCAGCTTATCGCAACCCTCCTGTGTTGTTGTGCCCTCGGTGTCTTTCTGCAGCCCCGCGCAACACATAGTACAACATGAAGTGGGCCATTATAACGTGCGGCGCTTCTAGGCTCGATCGCGCACAAGGGCGAAGGACTTCCGAAGCGAAACCTCATAGGAAGGATCGATTTTCCTTTTCAGAAGGCTGAGAGACTCAAAAGCGTCCTTATCTTGCTGCCTACGGCAAGTCCCGCCACCGTGCCTGTAAGCCTCTCGAGGGGAATGTTCGTTGGAATCTCGTGGGGGCCTCTCGGGGGCCTCTTGGAGGCAGTTTTGAGACCTCTTGGGAGCCGTTTTGGAGCCTCTTGGGGGCTGTTTCGGGGCCTCGTGGGGGCCTCTTTGGGTCCTCTTGGGGCCTCTTGGGGGCCACTTGGGGCCTCCTGAGGGCTCCTCTGGGCGGAAGGCTCGGATTTTCGATGCGTGCTCCCTCTCTGGGGTCCCTCGGGGCCGTCTTGGGGCCCTCTTGGGCCGTTTTGGGCGCCTCTTGGGCCGTCATGGGGCGTTCATAGGCCGTCTGGGGGTCCTCTTGCCTCTTGGAGGCCTCTTGGGCCGTTTTGGAGTGGTCTTGGGCCCTACTGGGCAGTCTTGGGGCGTCAGAAAGCCGAAAAAGCGAGACCGCCACTATTTTTCAGCAACGCGAGGAAAGTCAATGATCCGTAAGGGCTTCGCCCCCTGCCGCCGGCCCCCTCTCTCGGATAATGGGAGATGCAAAAGCTAAATGAGGTCAGGGCGCCGTCGTGAAGCAGTGGCGGGACCTGTTTGTTTTTCGACCCTGACCCTACGGATCTGCGTGAGGGGTGCCGCCGAATTTCAGAAATGTAGCAAATCCCCTGTGGTTGTGGACCCTGACCCGACGGATCTGCGTGAGGGGTGCCGCCGAATTTCAGAAATGTAGCAAATTCACTGTGTTTTTGGACCCTGACCCTGCCGATCTGCGTGAGGGGTGCCGCCGGATCTCAGACATGTGGCAAATCCATCATGTTTTTGGACCCTGATCCTGCCGATCTGCTTGAGGGGTGCCACCGAATTTCAGAAATGTGGCAAATCCACTTGGTTTTTTGGACCCTGACCCCGCCGATCTGCGTGAGGGGTGCCAGCAAGTTTCAGAAATGTGGCAAATCCCTTGTGCTTTTGGGCCCTGACCAGCGGATCTGCGTGAGGGGTGCCACCGAATGTCAGAAATGTGGCAAATCCCATGTGTTTTTGGACACTGACCCCGCCGATCTGCGTGAGGGGTGCCACTGAATTTCAGAAATGTGGCAGATCCCCTGCGGTTGGGACCCTGACCCCGCCGATCTGCCTGAGGGGTGTCAAATTTCACCCACCCCAGCAATTCAGACAACACGTTTTTGGTGGGTAACATGTATGCTTTGGGCCTCCCCCTTCGCGCGGTCCATCAACAAGGAACAGGAAGCAGCAAGAAGTCAAGAAGGAACAGTAAGCAGCAAGAAGCAGAACTGTAACAGTGGAAACTGGAAGCTGCAACTGGTACAGGAAACTGCGAACCTTAGCCCTACAGCCTGGTGGCCCCACAAGGGGGCCGGCGGATTTTTGCCTTTGGGGGCCCTCTTGGGAGATCTCTTGGAGGCCTTTTGGGGCGCATAGGAAGCCTCTTGCGCCATCTGTAGGCCAGCTTGGGCGTCTCGAGCGATCGTTCGGCGACTCGGAGCCCTCTTGGACCGTCTTGCGGGGCCTCCCAGAAGCCTGGGAGAGCCCCAGGAGACTGTTTTTAGGGTCCGGCGATAACCCGGGTTATCGGGCTTGCTCCCCCTCCCCCCCCCAGGATAACCTAACCTTGCCGCTTGTGCAGGTCCCGGGTGGGGGGGCGCGGGCATATGCAGAGCCGCCCACAGCGCGAAGGTTAGGTTATCGGCCGGCCCTTCCTCCCCCCCCCACACCCCTGGATAACTCTGGGGTTACCGCCGATTCAAACAAAACGGTCTCCAGGGAGGCGCCATGGCCGCCAAGTGACCCCCTGGGAGTGTGGCCGGCGCGCGCGGGCAGGTGCGGCCAGGAGAGTGTGGGGGGGGCCCGTTGGAAGATTACAGCAACCCTACCAGACAACACCTGGCATTCTGGCACGCCTCCACGTGCCAGGGGGCACGGTGGCGGATCCCGAGGACCACCCAAGCACGCCGTAGCAAGGGTTTTGATCTCCTCAGTGTTGTGGAGGACGATCATTGGAGAGGAAGCATGTTGCCAAATATTTTCCAGATGTCTCCAACATGTTTCCATCATGTCTTAAATATGTTAAAGCATGGTTGAAGCATTTTTGAACATGTTGTATACATTTTAAACACATGTTTAATTCAAATATAGGATTGATAGACTGTCCATTGTCATGGCATCCACAACCTTAGTGCCGAGCGCCCCGGACAGAATGCGCGTCTCCCTCCCCCTCTCGTCCCGCCTCTCTCTCTCTCTCCCTCCCCCTCCGCCTCTCCTGCTCTCTCTACCTCCACCTCCTCCTGCCCTCGCCGCGGCCGGTACACTGCTCGCACGTCTTGTGCCCCCACGGGCCCCCCTGGGGGCGGGGCCTCGCCCGCGTCGGCACACCCCTCGCGCGCATCCTGCCCACGAGGAACCTCCGCCTGCGGCCCCCGGTGCGCCTTGCCCAACGACGAGGAGGAGGAGGAGGAGGAGGAGGAGGAGGAGGAGGAGGAGGAGGAGGAGGAGGAGGGGGAGGAGGAGGAGGGCGAGGAGGAGGAGGAGGGGGAGGAGGAGGAGGAGGAGGAGGAGGAGGAGGAGGAGGGGGAGGAGGGGGGACCTCCCCCTGAGGCCCCTGAGGAGGTGCCCGCACGGCGACGGCGCGCCCGTGTCAGCACGCCTTTCGAGCGGATCGCACCCCATAGGGAGCTTCGCCTACGGTTAGAGGTCGGGCCTGTCTCCCTACAGGGGGGTTTGGGGTGAAAGATGAAAAGTACGAATCAAACATTAGAAAGATAGTCCCAAGACTACTGTTTGACCATTTTGGAATATTCCTCCTGTAGAGGGACACGCCCGACTTAACGGTACACCCCTCACGCGGTTTACGCGTCGTAGGGGGCTCCACCCACGGCCCCAGTGGAAGGGCTCGCATGGCGGCGCCGCGCCTTTCTTGGAGCATCCTCACATGGATACGGGGGCCCTTGGTCAGGCGAATTAGGTTCTCCGTGGCTGGGGGTTCAACCCCCAGCCAACGGCACGAAGGGTGAATGCAGTATCGTTGCACCTTAGTAGACCCTCTCTTGCACTGCCACTGCCGTCAATTCTTCTCAGGGCTGGACCTAAACGGTGTTTTGGGTGATTTCGTGGGCCGTTTTCGTTTCGACTTCGTTTTGCCGCAAAGGCGGACTGGAGACAAAAGCGAGGGAAAACGTAAACAAAACGAAAACGAACAACACCGTTTAGGTTCAGCTCTGATTCTTCTCTCGGGATGGCAATGTCAGAGGAACCGAGTTTGATCATCATACGGAAGCAGCATCTGATGTCTCCGAGTGCTAGCGGACGGAAGCAGCCAGTGCGCTCGCTTCGCTCTGGGATCGTGCCCTTCCCACGGACCATGCCCTTCCCACCCCATGTGCGTTCCCAAGCTGCACCTTCCAAACCTACCTATCTCCCGCAGGGGCTCTATACATAGGCACAAGAAGGTTCAGTGTTCGTCTTGAACGTTGCATTCTGCTGATGGTGTGTATTGCCAGTTGCCAGGTCTGAGACTGGCCTGGCAGCAGGACGGCGTCATCTCAGACACACGTCTTCTCAGCTCCTCGTCTGCCTTCCCTTGGGTCGGGCATGTCCCCCCTACAGGCAGACCTTGGACGAAAAATTCAAAATTCCCCCAACATTTTCAACCAGAATAAAAAAGCAATCGAAAGATCGTCCCCAGGTTATTTTCTGACTATTTGTGAATGTTCCTCCTGTAGGGGGACGGGCCCGACGTAAGCCTTCCCAGGAGGTGCTGGCGCCGGCGGCGCCTCGTGGATCGGAGGACCGTTTCTCTCGTTTGCAGGGATGCGATGCTGCACGCTCGACCGCAGAGTCGGGGCGACTCCCCTCTGGCTGCGTGACCGTCCAGTGCGATGCGCTTCTCTACCCGATCTCCGGTGATTAGTTGTCTTGGGGAGAAGTGCGTCACATCCTCGGGGCGCTCTTCTTTCTTTCTTTCTCTCTCTCTCTCTCGATCTCTCTCTCTCTCTCTCTCGCTATTTCCCTCTCTCTCTCTCTCTTTTTTTTTTTTTGTTTCTCTCTCTCTCTCTCAGTGTCTCTCTTCTCTCGCTCTTTCTGTCTGTCCGTGTGTATCCCTTTCTCTCTCTCTCTCTATCTCTTTGTCTTCCAGGGGCGCCCGTGGTCAATCAGGATTAGTCCCTCCACAGTCCAGTAGCAGCTGAGATTGCCGAGGCCTTGTGAAGCGATGATGTGACCCAAGCCGCACTCTCTTCAACCTGCCCACCAACAAGTCGTTGTGAGCACTGATTTTTGTGTAGTTGCAGTTGTGCATTGTTCTCCCGCGCAGAGCGCATGTTTCTGCTGAGCTGTGTGGAGTGTTTGTTCACTGAAGGGCACGTGATTTACACGTGGGCTGGGTGCACTTCTGTCGTACGAAGGTAACCACATGCTCGCACTACGTTTTCTCACACGTGCATGTTGTCTCCTATCAGTGGGGGACTTCCCCATCTGCATCCTCGCTTGCCCAAGCTTCCCGCACGGATTCCCCCCGCAAGAGTCAACAACAAGCAATCCGCGTTGTAAGGTTTGAGGCTCTCACACTTGTCGCTATCGCGAAGCTGGGGTTGAGCCCACGGATCTAGCATTCGACGTAGCGCCCACACATCGGACGCCGCAGAGCGGGAGAGTCGTCGCAGCCCACAAAGGGGGGAATTCAGCATGCACATCTGCGAAGTCAATCCGTGCTCGGGGATGGGCACTCGAAGTGCGCGTGACCGACTATTTGCGTCCGCTTGGGGGCACTGTCGTGGGACGGATTCTCGAGGCCCTTCCTGGTTCCTCTGGCTTTCTGTCAGGGCCCCGGTCATCGTGGGTAGCCGGGAGTGTCTTAGAGGGCCCAGGGAGGCTTTCGGAGTCCACCTTGGAGCCTGGTAAGAACCACCTCGTTTTGGTCAAGCCTCTCTCCTTCTCTTCCCCCCGCGTTATCCCGCCTGTCTCTCTCTCTCTCTCTCTCTATCTCTTTCTTTCGTCGGCTGCCGGCTTCCTCACTTCCTCCTCGCTACCTCGTTTCCTCCTCGCTACCTCGCTTCCTCCTCTTCGCCTGTTCCTCGTCCCCCCATCCCTCGCCCTTGGTTGTTGCCAGCTGCGCAGTTGTCTGCAGTTTCGTGAACTTCTGAGCGGTCCATCGGTGTGCGGTGCTACGGTGGCCCCAGAAAGACCACGCTTCTCTGGCTGTGGGCACCAGGGCAATCGTCGCCGTTTTGGTGGGGCCATGGCGGGTCCAGCGGGGTGCCTGTTCTCGAGGGAGGAAGGAACCACCCGGACCGGACAGTGGGCGTTTACTGAGCGGCCCAGGGCGTTTACTAAAAGCCCTGCCCTGCTGGATTACCTCTCTGGTCGCGTATACTAAACGGCCTCGCCTGTCGGGGTGATAGTTATGGGGGTGGATGTTTTGCCCTCTGTGTTCACGGGGGCGTAGGCGGGGCTTCGCCTTCCCTGGGTGCTGCCGAGCGCGCAGCCGCCGCCAGTCTCTTGTTTCTGCAGCCAGCAGCAGCCGCAGCAGCCGCAGCAGCCGCCCCGCGCGCAGCCGCCGCCGCCGCCGCATCTCTTGGGTGTTGGCGCGCGTGGAACAGGCGGAACGTTCAGTGGCTCCTGTGTGAGCCCTTGCGGAGTGCAGTCCTACGCAGACCTCAATGCGTGCTTCCGTGCCTGGGGTTGCCCTCCTTCGCCCGCAAGCCGTCGCGCTCACTCTAACCCGCCCTCCCAATACACTTGTAACACCCGAGGGAGTCTCAGCATATTGCTGAGGGGCGCCACGCATGCCATGTGCGGCGCCATGGGTTTCAGGTGCACCACGCACCCTAGAGGCCCAAGCGGGCCAGGCGCGCCAGGTGCGGCACGTGCTCTACGTTTAGCAGCATGCCAGCACTCCCGCCGCCCCTTTCAACAGCCAGTGCAAAGTGGTCGCGGGGCGCCCGCGCACGCTCCAGATGTGGAGGCGAAGTGCATTCTGTATCGTTGTTTGACGGGGGCGGTCGGTTTGCGCGCAGCGAGCAATATGACGGCACCCCCGCCGTCGCCGTCAAAAACCAGTGCAAAGTGGTCGCCGGGCGCCGGCCCACGCTCCAGATGTGGATGCAACGTGTTTTTTTTGTTTTTACCAGGGGCGGTTGGTTTGTGCGCAGCGAGCAACGTGACGGCACCCACGCCGTCCCTGTCAACAAAAAAAACACTGCGAAATGGTCGCCGGGCGCCCGCGCATGCTCCAGATGTGGAGGCAACGTGCATTCGGTAATGTTTATTTGAAAGGAATGGTTGGCCTGTGCGCAGCGAGCAATGCGACGGCACCCCCGCCGTCCGTGTTCAACAAAAACAATGTGGTCGCCAGGCGCCCGCGCATGCTCCAGATTTGGAGGCGACGTGCGTTCTGTATTGTTTTTTGACAGGGATGGTGGGGGTGTTGGCATGTCTCGGGTTGGCCCACAGTCGGGTGTGGAGGGTGTGCATATCAAAAAGGAGCAGCGATAAACGCTTCCAAGAAGGAGAAGACGGGGGTTGAAAGAGGAGCCTCTCTAGACCGCCGACGCCCACAGGGCTGGTGGGATCTCGAACACGCCCGTGTGTGCCGAAAGCACCGTAGCAGGTTTATTGCAAAAGCTATGCGCAGACTCACTTCCGCAGGAGGGCGGCATACCTTGTTAGATGGGGTTCGTGTTCTTTTACCCCTTATGTCCTTCTCCTCACGGCGACAGTGCGAGTTCGAGAGCGCGACTCAGCATACCCAGGTTTCCCAAATACAGGCAGGGACTTGGCCATGGGGCCAGTGGCAAATTGCTAGCGAGCAGGATGCATCTGCATTGTTGACAGAATTGCGTGCCACCTCAATAATCTTATTACAGGCCAAGCTTTTGGTGTTCAACTGCGCAGGAGCATCTCTCGGACGTGTTTTAGCCAGGTTCTGCCACCAGTCCTCTGGCTCATCTCATACGATCAGCAGGTTTTCCGTCGGAGCCGTAAAGAGTTCAGCCGGTATTACGGTACATATTATGAGAGCGCAGCAGCCACCATCGATATCATAGCTGCTGCCGCTAACGCTTCGCGTGCGTTGCCCACCGATCCTTCCCGGCCGCGAGGAAGTGGGCGACATTTCGGTTCAACCTGGTGGCGCCGCCGAGTTGCCGGCGATTCGCCCCCTGGCAGTGTTGGATGTTGGGCAGCAGGTCGAGAGAAACAGATAACTCCACCTCCCAAGAACATGTTCGCGCGAGGCGGAAGACATTTCATTTCTCACAGTTGGGCGCGGATTGAATTGTCCTGTTTTCTGTCGTTGCGGGGGCCCCGACAACTCCGCCTCGTCCCTCCTTCTAAGTGACTGATTGATTCCAGCATTGTTTAATCGCTTCGCTCATTCCGCTGGCCCATTTTTGCGCTCCGGGAGGCAGTGTACAGGAAGCTCTTGGGAGTTCTCCGAGGCTTTCGGAGACGTCTCAACCTGGAGCCTTTTTGGGCTTCTTGGCGGCCTCCTGACCGCCTGTTGGGGGCCTCTTGGGGCCTCTAGGGACCTCTGGGCACCTCCTGGGGGCTGCTTATGGCCGAGGGCTCGAAATGTTGTTTCGTGTTCCCCCTCTGTGGCCTCTCTTGGGGCGTTCTTGGGCCGTCTTGGAGTCGGCTTGGGCGGTCCTGGATTCCTCTTGGGCCGTTTTGGGGCTCTTTCGGGGCCCTCTTGGACCCTCTTGGGACGATCTTGGGACGATCTTGGGGACCGCTTGGGCCGTCTTGAGGCGTCGGGAAGCCGAAAAGGGGGAAACGCCCAAATCTGTCCAACATCTTAGGGAAATTAATGAATTGTACCTCTGGGGGCCGTCTTGGGAGTGCTTTTGGAAGCCTCTTGGGGCGTCTGGGAGCAATTTTGGGCATCTTGGAGCGATCTTGTGGCATCTCGGAGCCCTCTTGTTCTGTCTTGGGGGCCTCTTGGGGGCCTCTTGGCCCTTCTTGGAGCTTTCTGGAGGGCCTCGAGGGCGGCGCCCACCCGACCCGACCCGGCCGGGGGTCTCTGACCCGAACCGGCCGTGGACCGCCTGGGCTTTTTTTCGTCCGGTGACCCCCAGGGGCCGCCCTGCGCGCGCGCGCGAAGTAGAATTACTGTACGCAGTTACCAGAGATCTTAGCACGCCTCTGGCCCGTTGGGCCAGCCACTTGTCCGTGCCGCCGTCATCATGACCACCCGTCATCATCCTCGCTGTGCTATCTCATCACCACCATCATCGGCAGGCATGTCAGGTCACAGAGATGGGGCCACTCGAGCAGGTGCTCGGCATCGTCCCGCCCTTGCGCCGCGGCTCCCCTCGCAGCCAGCAGAGGCTGCACACGTCCCGAGGCTTTGAGAGCACGGGGTGGCGGCTGCAACCGCTGCGAGTTGCAGCGGTTGTCGCAGGCCTGTAGGTTGGCAACACCAATATCGGCGGTGTGCGTCCACCGAGGGAAGAAGATCCCGATCTCGGTGGTGGTGGTAATACTTCTGGCTCCCAAGGCGGCCAAAATCTTACCACCGACACCGAAATCGAGGATTAGTCTTGAATCGGGCCCGTCCCTCTACAGGGGGAATATCCAAAAATAGTAAAAAATAGCCTGGGGACTATTTTTTGAATTTTCTGACCATTTGGGAATCTAGTTTGAGTATTTTTAATTTTTCGTCGAAAATCCCCCTGTGAGGACACGCCCGACTTAAGATTAGTCTTCCCCCGTGGATGCCTCCCCCTGCGCTGGTGTTGGTGTCCATTTCCAGGCCTCCAAAGGTTGCAGCCTGCAGCCTGCAGCGGTGCGAGCCGCGGCCGAGGCAACGCCGACGGGAGCAGTTGGGGCGGCTCGCGCTCGGGTTAAGTCGGGCCTGTCACTCGACAGGAAGAATATTCGAAGATAGTATAACAATAGTCTGGGGGCGATTTGGGATTCTTTTTTGACTAGTCGGGGGTATTTCTGGAGTAATTTGAACTTTTCGCCCAACATCCCCCTGCAGGGGGACAGGCCCGACCTAGCGCTCGGGTGGCGCCCCCCGCGGCTGACCTTTCCGGCGGGTCGAAGGCCGGCCCCTGTGGTCGGGCGTGGTGCATTGGTCGCGGCCAGCCGACCTCTCTCGGCGTGCGCAGCGATGCGCAGGAAGCTTCCGCGGTATCTCGTCGGGATCGAGGCTGTCGGGGAGGCGGTGGGCACGCATCATGGGGCCCACATCGCGGGCTGTCGGGAGCGATCGGCGTCACCCCAACACACTTCTGCTATATATATATATATATATATATATATATATATGCGTCGCCTCTTCAGGGGCGACGCGCGCACCGAGAACTCTAGTGGAATATGCGTCGTGGCGGGTGCCTTCTGGCCGCACCGCTCGGGAAACGATGTACTACAAGATGGGTATACTACCTGTTCGGGTCGGACGCGCGCTTCCAGGGAGGACATGTAGTGTTAGCATGTCTCTGTGCGTCCCAATCGAGGCTGTTGGGGAGGCGGTGGACAGTCATCATCGGGGTCCTGGGGGGCTCGAGCTCAAGCAGGCCGCGCAGCGGCCCTGCACGACCGAGGCGGCAGGCATGGGACGCTCACCGAGAAGGCCAGGGCGCGGCCGCGAGGCTGCGCGAGGAGCGGACGCGGCAGGCACCAGCTTGGCATCGCTCGGACGTGTGCACTTTTTTCGGCGGGGATTACTGAGGAGCATCCTGGATCATCCCGCCAAAAAGCCACGCACGAAACCGAAAAAAGCTCAGGGAATGGACGTTCGAGCGATGGCAGGCCAGAGGGGACGCTGGCCAGAGCAAGGTGCGTGCTGCGGCGGGGGGCCAGGGAAAGGCCGAGGGCCAGTGGAGCACGGAGAAGGTTCCGGCGCATCGGAGCAGGCAGGAGGCTTTCGGCATGGAGGCAGCTTCTGTTTGTTGCGAGGGAAGCGGCGGCGAGGGAGGGCACGCGCCAGACACCTGCCCGAAGCGCCCCAGCTTTGAGCCACAATGCCCACGGATGACGGTGGTGATGATAGCGAGGATGATGATGGCCAGCCGCCCCAATTGCTCCCGTCGGCGTCGCCTTTGCCGCGGCTGGTGCCGCTGCAACCGCAACCGCGTCCAACTGCTCGGACCACGCTGCGCCTGGCTCCCGACCGCGTCAAGACTGCTTAGCGCCTCCGTCGCTGCAGTTTATCACGGGGTGAAATTCCTGCTGCCCGTGCTCGCAGGTTCATGTGCATGTTGGACGGAGCCACCGACCAGATCCAGCCCAGCTGCGAAGCGTGCTCATAGTCCGTCCGAACCATGCGCAGACTCGCGGAGCAAGTGGCCGCGGGCGCCGAGGAGGTCGGGAGGGACGACGAGACCGAGTCAGAGACTGGCAATGACGCGGCACAGATGCTGGAGACGCGCGCGGGAGAAAGTTTGGCGCTTGCTGGCGGCGTTGCCGGCCAGAGCCGCCCGTGGGCGCCTCGTGGGCGTCCCGTGCACTCTCATGGGCGTGCCGAGGTTCCGCCTCGTTGCCGCCCGTGGCCGCCCAGGGGCGCCTGGTGGGCGCCCCGTGCGTCGGATGGGCCTGGCATCGCTCGGGCGCGTGCATTTTTTTCCTGGCGAGGGCCACCGAGGCGCGCATAATTACTGGGCCAGCTCTGCGACAAAACAGCCGCGCAGGAGACCGAGAAACGCGCACGGGGAATGGACGTCTGAGCGACGGCGTCGGACGGGTGCGTCCAAGGACTGATGTGCAGTAGCTGACTCCAGACGTGGACGATTTCTGCTGTCATGCGCGGCCCACCCCTCGAGCTATGATGGGATGTGGCCTTGGTGCTGAGCGCTCTCCGCGCTTGGGCCTCGCGGGCGCTGCCAGGAGGGCCCGGGCTCTGAGGCCACTTGTCTGGAGGATCCGCGCCGGTTGCCTGTGGTCGGGAGGGCGCGAGGAGGAGGGGGGAGGAGGAGGAGGAGGAGGAGGAGGAGGAGGAGGAGGAGGAGGAGGAGGAGGAGGAGGAGGAGGGGAGGAGGAGGAGGAGGAGGAGGAGGGAGGGAGGAGGAGGAGGGGAGGAGGAGGAGGAGGAGGAGAGGAGGAGGAGGAGGAGGAAGGAGGGAGAGGACCCCCGCCGCGTGGCGCGCCACTCGCCGTGCGCGGCGCGGGGCGTGCCCGGACGCTCGGCGGCCGCTCGCCGGGGGCACCCCGCGGGCGCCCCGGGCGCCGGGGCGGGCGTGCCGAGGTCTCGCGTCTGGCCGCCCCGTCGCCTGGGCGCCTCCTCCTCCTCCCTCCTCCTCCTCCTCCTCCTCCTCCTCCTCCTCCTCCTCCTCCTCCTCCTCCTGGCTCCTAAGACCTGAGCACACCGCGGGAGGTGCAGGTCATAGCATTGCCATCCAGGGCAGGCCCTGGGTGCTGGGGCTCAAGCCTGATAGCTCAGCCCCCGTGCCTGCCTGGTCAGCCCCAGGCAGAGGCACAGTCACGTCCCGCCTCAGTGCTGCCATAGGGCCTCTCGTGTGCGTGCGCCAGCGTGCCGCCATCAGGGGATGCCCGTCCAGCAGAAGAAGTACTTGGTCTGCTCGAAGCGTGGCTGTAAAGGCTGGGCTTGGTGCTCGACTAATACTCGTCATTGTATGCAGTGTGGTAGCCGTTTCAAGCAGTGCGGGGATCATGGTCCCCCAGCTCGACCCCAAGGTGGTGGAGGAGGCTCCCAGGATGTTCGGCCTGACGTCGTGGAGGTGCCGCCCAAGCCAGGACGCTGGAGGAAGGGCTCCCGCGGTCCTGAGCGCCCACCAGGCCTGGGGCGCGGAGGCGGCCGATCGGTCACCTTCGAAGATGCAGCTCCCCCTGATGACCCAGTTGCCCTGGCTCAAGCTCAAGTCACCTTCTGGAAGAAGTGGAAGCCAGATGGAGAGGAGCACAAGTCGGCGCTGGGCAAGCTCAAGTTCGCCAAGGCGCAGGCCCTGTCGGCCAAGAGCCTGGAACAGCAAGCGCAGTCCCTGTCTGATCAGCTCCAGGTGCTGCGCCAGAGGTTGCAGTCGCAGAAGCAGGAGGCCAGCGAGCTGGTTACCACTATTGTCGAGGCAAGCGAGTATCACGGCAAGCTGGTCGAGGAGATTGAAGCTAATACAAAAGAAGTGCAGATGCTGGGGACGCAGCTCAATGCGGCCACCCAGGCGGCTGCGTATGAGGCATCTAAAGACGA